TATATATATATATTATACATATTTATATATACATATTATATCTATATATATATTAATATATATATCCCATATATACTAATAAATCTACATATATACTATATATATACAATATCATATCTATCATAGATCATATATAGTATCATATATACAATTATCAATATATATATCCATATATACATATATATATACATATATACATATATATATATACATATATATAACATATTCCATATGATATACAATATTCATATATAATATATACATATATACATATACATATATACATATATACATATATACATTATATAATATAATAGAGTACTATGTACATATTACATATCTACATATATACATATAACTATACTCTACAATTACATATACATATCCATATACTATATACATAATACATATATACATCTATCCATATATATATACATATACATATACATATTATATACATCTACATATACATTACATATACATATACATATACATATATATATATATATATATATATATATATATATATATCATAATAAATAATATTATAATATATATAATTTATACTATATCTACTCTATATATATATAATATTATATATAGATATATATTATATATATATATATATATATTATATATATAATAATATAATTATATATTATATATATTATATATATTATATATATTATATATATATATATATATGAAAAGGACAAACAGCCACAGTAAGAAATGAATATAAATCATAACATTTCAAACTCTTCACATGCTTTTTTTTTTTTTTTGTCTGAAGAGGAACGTGTGAAGAATTCAACACTATGATTTACATTTATTTCTTACTGTGGCTGTTTTTCCTTTTCATCTGTGTCAAATACATGCAGATGGTAACAGACATGTTTTCTTTGAAGAGACTCCATATCATCTCTCTAGGTAGTCCATAATACAGTTCAGTAATAATAACAACAAGAAACATTTTGTTATTTGTTTCATTTCTTTTCTCTTAATATTCAGCTGAAATGCTCACGACAGCAAGTTCGCATAACCCCAGCCCACAGCTTGATTTTCCCATGACAGCATGTTCACATCACTTTCCCCAAGTTAATTCTCTTCATGACATGATGGTCACCTCATCCAGATTGTAGGGTCAATCATGTTAACCTTCTTGTAGGAGATATTAGAGGATGCTTGTTAAGCCGTCTGTGGATTGAGAACTTTAGGTACCCGTAGGCATTATTATCCACATTATTCTATATGAATTCAACATGACAGGGATGTAGATGAAAATACTGGTCTATTACTATGATTAGTATCCTCTCGCCAGAGGGAACAACACCAATTCCATCAGTTTTACTTCAGCAAAGGTTTTCCAAGTAACAACAAGACTTGGCTACCTGATTACTTCAAAAGATTTAGCATCATTTATGAATAAAAAATCATCTGATATAACTACATTCTAAAAAAAAAAAGTAAGAGCTTAATACAAATCAGTTGATCCAATCAGGCCTAAAAATGTACAAGCAAAACATTCAGGAACAATACATTACTTTTATGCTTGAAATTAGCACTGAATATAGCTAACTAACTACAGTTCATACTCTCCTTGCAAATTACATAAACAGTTCAAAAACAAATGTTTGAATTACTGCAGTTCTCCTAAGACACAAGATCAAGAAATACTACATCTACTTATGAAAAAATAAACTTGCTTTACATCTGCATAATTTGTACAGAAGGTAATGAACCACAAACATGGCTTTTGATCATCTATTTGCTAGGACATGATCATAACCTTTCAGGGTAACAGAATTAAAGTGGAGTACTGACTTGGAGGAGTCTTTGATTCAAGAAAATTTCTAGTGATATCTTATCGATTCTCTTGTCCCTTATAGACATAGGATCAAACATTCATAACAAGATCACACACATACAAATCAATTGTCTTTAAGTACCTCAATAAAGCATTCCAGATTACAAACAAGAGCATAAGCCAAAAACAACCATTTTTGGTCTAAGTGACTCACAAGTATCTCCGAAACATTAACAAACCTTAAATGCAGAGTCCAGGAATCCAGAGGCATGGGTCGTAATAGCAGCCATGGGGTGTATGAGGTAGCGATAAAAATATAGATCATAGCTCTATCACTGCGATGGAGAACTTCTTTAAGGTTTCTGTAAGGATAATGTAAGGCTTTTCTATTAGTTATGGAAAAGGTTGTCTAAAGGAATATGTGGTTAAAAAAATGTTTAACATATGATGTATAGAATCAAATAAATATATACACAAAAACAACAATCAATTCTTAACAAACTTTGAACTTAATTTGTTACTTATATAAAAAGAAACAAAACTGAAAAGAAAGAAAGAAAAAAAAAAAATACATGACCTGAGGCAAATGCATGTTCATTTTATCTATTTGACAAAACTAACATTATTTAGCAAAAAAAAAAGAAAAAAGTCAAGGACAAGCACAAGTGGTTTACTTGTAATATCCGAGATAGA